CAGTCTGGGTGCCTCTTGGGTTTGCTCTAGTCTGGAAGTATTAAGTACACGAGGATATGGAAAGTACCATGAGGTGAGATTTAACTTGCAGATGTGAATACTTGAGCCCAAGCTTCACTTAAGGGAATGACATCGAGTGGGGATAACAAAAGAATCATCCTTTTAACCAAGGAAAGGTCTTGATTAGGAAGAAATGAACATGAAGAGCCAAAACCAATTAGGTTATTATTACAGATAGTATGGAAGAGAAAGTAATTGCCATCTAAGTGTATCCTTTTTTGACAGATCAGGAAATACACACAGTTGGAAACTTATGGGAGAGCACAGATTTCAATCTTATTCTTAATCTGTTATCTGTTCATAGAACAGTCTGTCAAAAAGGAAATCTAAGTGGGAAAACCTAGACAAGAAGGCTGAGGAAGAGGAAGGCTGAGTGGGCGGATGCACTTTTAGTTAGCCTCTTAAAAACAGAAGCAACGTGCTGCTTAATGCAGCATCTGTGGCACGGCTGCAGGGATGTCAGTGTAGGAGGAGGCCGGGATGAGGCTTCCACGACACAGCAAGAGCCCAAGTGATCATTACAGGTAGTAAGTTGCAGCAAAAGACCCTGGACTGTAGCAGAGGAAGGTTTCTAAGTGTGATTTTATTACTGCACTTCCTAGGCTCAAGATACTCACTAGCATGTTCTGACAATGCACAGATTAGCCACCAAATTTTTCAAATTAGAATGCTATATTTGAGTAATTTCAGTAAAATATATTTAATAATGTGGTGTTTAACTTGAATGTAACTATAACAGAGATGGAGCTCCTTGCTTGTGAGTGAGGAAGCTGAAGGTCTTGACAGCTTAGGGGCCAGTTGACCAAAGGAAGGGGTCTCCCTTCAGATTTCGTTTGTGGTGAGGATGAGGTCACTTGGGTGAGATTTCCCAGGAATACTATAGAGTACCCTAGGAAATACTTGAAAGAGGGGGGAGATTGTTCTTTTAATCAGAATAGTTCCCACTTTGGGCATAACTGTATTATTCTTTGAGGTTCTGCACTAAGATTTTTTTCTGGGTGAGGAAAGTCAGTGGCTTTACAAAAATTTGACAGTTACTAGTGGGTGCTGCATTAAAGCATCACCATACGCTTTCCCATCACCAGATTGATCATTCTGTAGTACATCCAACTCTTTCTCTCTTCCCTGAATGTGTAGAATTTTCTCTTCTTCTGTAACATCACATTAGTTATAGTTAAGATGGTAAGAATATCACTCATAATGTTGGGGAACTGTAGGACAGGCTGGATAAGTAATAAGAAACCCACTTAGAAAGGATATCAGGAGCTTCCAGATAGCAGACTAGCTTTTGGAGAACTGCAAAGACTTTCGTGAGATGGAAGTTTGACGGCAAGGAGATGGGCTCTAACATGCAAAGGAGTCTTGAAAGCAGGAGTTTCCGTTCCCTGAGCACCTATCTCCACATCCTGGGACTCCCAGGGAGTCTTCTTCAGGTTCTGAATTTCGATGAATGCTGTGATCCACATGACTGTGTTTAGAATTTTGGTCTAGGTTGTAGAACTCCTATGTTAGTGTGGGACTGGGATGATGACATAAAGGTTTTTATGGATTACAGTAGATTATTTTGCCTTCAGCTCAGATTCATGGTTTGCTCTTCGTAAGTTAAATTGTCATGTTGAAAACACTATGTAAAATAATGGGATATAGAGAATTTAATTTTCAAAGCCTATATTAATTCATCTCATGCAGTCTGGTCCATGGTTTTCCTGACTGATGTCAGCGTCCTTGCTTTGAATCATATGTGTATATACAATCCAGTAAAATAGATTGTAGTCAGCTTTTATTATGTTCTCAGAGTTTAGTTATTTGGAGCCATTAAGGGAGATTATCAGGCATTCAGAAATTTATCCCTTGGTAAAACTTTCCAGGTTTGGTCTCTAAAAGGTTGTAGATCATTTAAGACCTAATTTATTTCAAGTGTATAAATCCATTGGTAATTGATCGTCATCATGCTTAAATAACCACCAAAATATATTCAGTAAAAATAAAAAGGAGTTACAGAATTTGTAGAGATGTAAATAATGTTTAGCATTTTTCCTTTCCTTTTTCTCCAACACCAGGGAGAGCACCTGCAGAGAATATACAAATTGCTGAGGGTTTCTGTCGCTTGGGCTCTTGCTGTGTCGTGGAAGCCTCATCCCGGCCTCCTCCTACACTGACATCCCTGCAGCTGTGCCACAGAAGCTGCATTAAGCAGCACGTTGCTTCTGTTTTTAAGAGGCTAACTAAAAGTGCATCCACCCACTCAGCCTTCCTCTTCCTCAGCTTTCTTGTCTAGGTTTTCCCACTTAGATTTCCTTTTTGACAGACTGTTCTATGAACAGGTAACAGATTAAGAATAAGATTGAACAGGGTCCTGAGTTCAATCCCTGATACCACCAAAAAAAAAAAAAAAAAAAAAAAAAAAAAGAAAAAAGAAAAACATTGAAGTCTTTCCTCTCCCACAAGTTTCTAACTCTGTCTAATTCCTGATTGTACACTTAGATGGCAACTACTTTCTCTTCCAGATCTAAAATTTTCTCTTGGTCTTTCTCTTTTTTAATCCATCGTTCTGTATCTTCCATGCTCTCTATCTCAGCTTCTCATGTATATCTGTTAATAAGTATTCTCATCAAGCTGGGTGTAGCTCATTGGTAGCAATTACCTAGTATGTGCTACTCTATGGGTTCAATCCCCACTACTGCAAAAACAAAAATAAACTACCACAATTAAAATAAATACTAGTTAATACTTTTTTTTTTTTTTTTTTTTTTTTGGCAGAACCAGGGATTGAACTCAAGCCCTTGCACTTGCCAGGCAAGTGCTTATTCTACTGAAGCAACTCCTCGGCCCTCTTAATTTTTTTTTGATCAGTTTTGAATGCCTGTATCTGGTAAACTGAGCAGCTACTTTGAAGATAATGGTATACATTATAACAACTATTGTTGATTTCCTGTCATCTTGTTTTGAAATTCTATATTGTTTTTAATGTTTAATTTTTTATTCTCTTTAAAATGAAAGATTACTTATAAAATAAACATGGTTATGAAGAAACCTCAATAAATGTAGTTTTGAGCAAGATTTGGAGTGTTTATTTATTTATTTATTTTTTGTATTTAGAACAGGATCTATAGAGTCTATAGGATCTCACTACGTAGCTTGGACTTGTAGCGAATCTCCTGTTTTCAGCCTCTCAAGTGTTGTGATTACATGTGTGTGCCACCACTCCCAGTCTAGAATTTGGAGTGTTTAGATATTGTTATTTTGATAGTTTGTTTGTATACATTTGCCAAAAATAACTTTCAGTTGTATTTTTTTTATAGAACACAGTTGTTGTAAAGTAAAATGATGTTATATTCTTACCTATTAGAATTTTAAAGTTATGTTGCCCAGTATTGGTGGATCTATATAGAAATTTTTACTTTCATACATTATTGTAGAAATCTAACTGTTGCATCTTTTTTGGAGGACAGTATGAATATTTTTGTGTGGTTGAAAAATACTGTGTAAATATTAAAAATTTATTATAATAAAGGCATATTGCCATTTATTTGCCTCAAAACACTTCCCCTTGATTTGAAGACATTCCATTGTCCTTGCCACTTTTTAAAGCAATTGCGAAAGTCATCTTTCATGAGCTCTTTGAGTTGTGAAATTCTAGCTGCCTTCATGGCCTGAAGCTACTCAAAGCATTTACCTTTCCTGATCATTTTGACTTTGGGGAAGAGCTGGAAGTTGCCTGGTACCAGATCCAGTAGATAAGGAGGATGAGGTCCCCTGTAATGTTTTTAGGAGCCTGTCTTTCTGTTGGATAGTGGTTGCCATCTGCACTGAACTTATTTTTGCTCTCACCTCACAAAGGCACTAACAAAATAGGACTTCCAGAACTGTCTCAGTAAGCAGCAAGAGCAGTGAGACAAGCAGGTATTTGAATCAGTGAGGCATATTTTGAAGTAGACTAATGGATGTGTATCTTTTACCATATGGTAATACCATAGTAAATAATTTAAATTTAAACACAATTCAGAGAATATATATAAATTGTATGAATGACTTCCGAGGTCTCTGAAAAAAATTCACATTTAAATATTAAAACATACATGCAGAGGTATTGTTGCTATATTGTTTGTGATTATGAAAATTTGGAAAAAATCTTTGTTTCTATTGAGAGGAATGGGTAATAAGGATATTTTATATATCTTCATCATAAAGGTAGCAAAGGGAATACAAAGCATGAAGCTGATCTGTATGACTATCATATCATAAGCAGAAAAGCAAGCAATGGAACTGTATTACACTGAGGTTCATGTAAATCCTACATAATTATCTATATTCATATATAACTGCATAAAAATGGGGAGAATACACATCACACTGTTATCATTAATTGGAGAGAGTAGAGGAATTCAATTTTTATTACATCTATATATACACCTATTAAATTTCTTAGAAGTAGCTAGTATTGCTGGTATAAAAATGAACAAAAGCAAAAAAGAAGGAATTAATTTCTAAACATTAACCAATCAGAAAGCAGAAAATTTGTCCAAGGGCTGGTCAAGTAGCTCAGCAGATTAAATAACCTGCAAACCTGCACAGGGGCCAGAGGTTCCTTACCCAGGCCTGCTGTGGTGGCCCCGCCCCCAGGGTGCACTGAGATGGCAATTGAAACTGGGTGTGGTGTTGCACATGCCTGTAATCCCAGCACTTGGGAGGCTGTAAATAGGAGAATCACTAGGATCTAGTAGAGAGACCCTGAACATGCTGTAAACCTTTCCCTAAAAATAAAAATAAATAAATAAAAATTTTAAAATAGGAAAGAAAAAGGAAATTTGTCCAAGATACTAGGGGAACATTGTTTAAAGAATATACCCAAAAGTTCTAGCACTTTTTAGTGATAACTTACCTCCCTCTCGTTTCTTGGCCTGCCCAACTTACTCTTCTCACTTACCCATGTTCTACAGGTAACTCGGGACCAGATGAAGGTGTTTATACAGCAGGAATTTAAGAAAGTTCAGAAGGTGATTGCCGACGAGGAGCAAAAGGCCCTTCATCTGGTGGACATCCAGGAAGCCATGGCCACAGCTCACGTGACTGAGATCTTGGCAGACATTCAATCCCACATGGACAGGCTGATGACTCAAATGGCCCAGGCCAAGGAACAACTTGGTACCTCTAATGAGTCAGCTGAGCCAAAGGCAGAGGTAAATGACAATGCCTGCTGTTACTAGTAGTGGGATAAGTAGGTAGAGCCTGATTGCCATGCTTATTAGTGCTGCAAATCCTCCCTCATGATCCCCGATCATGAGTGAATTGAAACCTTAGTGCAGTTGTAGGTGTTTCAACTGGTGTGTGACCTGACATGGAAGTTCAATATTGCTCACTAAGGCTTGTACGCACAGCCGCATCCTGTCAAAGTATGTATCTGTTTTGATTTAAAGGATTGTCATCAGTGGGGCAGATGCTCACCACAGTGAAATCAGAGTCTGAGAAGGTCTGTGACATCTCCCAGGTTGTGTGATGAATGTATGAAAAAAGTTACCATTGGGTCAGAACTGGCCTGAAGGGAACAAGTAAGGAAGTGGAGCATGCAGCTCAGACTGAAAGAGATCTGGACTTGTTCTGTAAAGAGTGAAAGGGTGCTGCAGGCTGGATTTTATATGGAGTTAGCAGCATCAGTTGAAGGAATTACTGATGGATGAAGAGAGGCATGTGGAGTGAGGTGGCGTAGGTCGAGCCTGTACTCCTAGCTACTCAGGAGGCTGAAGAGGGAGAACCAGTTGAGTCCTTGAATGCAAGACCCTGTCTCAAGACAAAATAAGGGTTTCATGTATGCTGGGATATTGTGAAGTAAAGGCAAAAGCCAGTGTGGGTGAAAGATACAAAGTAGATTTCAATCACTGTGCAAATGTTAATTTAAATATATTGCAGAATGGTGGAGAGGGTCATTTTGTGACCTAATAAACAACAAAATCAACCAGTTACTTCTGCAGATGAGCAGTGTGTCTCAAATTCCCTTCAAACTAGACTCTCACATTTATGCTGTGTATTGATTAGGTCGTTCTTTCAGAAATGAAGATCTGATTTCATGAAATATCCCTGTTTTTTATTTTTATGTCAAAGAATGGATTTAGTCTCTTCACATCACTAGCTGTCTTTTAGGCACTCCAGCTGACAAAGGACCAGGATGGGGACAAAGTAAGCTATTAAAGACAAGAAGTAGCATTCAGCTTGCTAGAGCGTGTTCAGAGAACTGTTATCATCTAATAGCTTTTGTTCCAGTTAATCTGCTAACTTACTGGTTAGAGCAAATATCTAGTACCTCTCTTTCACTTAAGAAAGAAATCCTTTTTTTTTTTTCCTTTGCGAAATGTAGAATATTTTTTGAAAAAAATCACCTGTATTTTGAATTTAGCCAAAAGATTTCTTCCCAACATTTTATCATGAAAAATTTCAAACATACAGCAAAATTGACAGGTTTTTAAATATTATACCCATATACCTACCACCTAGATTGTAATCTATTAACATTTTGCCATACTTGCTTCATTATATTTCTAGCTATCTTTGCACCCTTCCACTCATCAATCAGTTTTATTTTGAGCACTAAAGCAAAATCAGATATCTGATTCTGAGTAAGAACCAGAAACACATGCCATTTATTCTTTCCACTGATTACTGTAAAAATCTGGACAGAAGTCACCTGAAAGATGTCTTCAGAGGTGAGAAAAGTTGTCATACAGACTTGAGACCTTGGATTTAAAGAACTAAGACAGTGAAGTATCTGGAATTTTCCTTGCTTCTGTTATGTACTATTCCCTGTGTTCTGCAGACTGGAAATATTAGTGAATATAGATGTCCCCCTCCCCCTCAAATACCCAAGAAACCTTGCAAGCTGGAAGAAACCTTTCGTCCTACCTACCTACCATTCTGGAGATGAATACCATGAAGAAAAAGCTGCCTTTCTCCTCAAGCCTCACTGATACTGCTGTAGAGGAACTAACAGACTAAAAAATACGTTTTATACCTCCTTTGGACTAATAGGATGTCTATTTTCAATGGAGCCTGTAAATGAAACTAACTTGTGCCTTTGCCCTTGCTTGTCTCTCATGCACTTGTAAGAGCTCTGACTTTGTTCCTGCCTGCTATCATAGCAAGGAAGTATATCCCTCCCCTGTGGAGACAGAGGCTGGAGCACCTAACTCCTTCCTCTTACGCCCTCCTTAGCTAGACATTGCCCTTCCCTAGCTGGTTCGGTGGCTAGAACTTCGTCTTCCAACCTTGTCTTGCAGTAATGACGCGGTCCTCTCATTTCGCCAGCTAGCTTGATGGTTACTGTGGCGTGGAGGGTTATCATCTTAAGTAGGGCACAGCAGAATGACACAGCAGAAGAACATGACATTTGAGCCATGGTCTTCACAAAGTGATCCAGGACATGTGTTTGGAACCCCTGCTAAATATCCTGTGACTCAATATATCCAGGGTTCACTGTAAAATTATACAGTAAATCTCAATTCGAATGAGCAAATATATTCCAACACCAAATGACACAAGTGTGGGGATTATCAGAGAAGCAGTGCACAGTGAATATTTAAGAACATCTTGGAAATAAATGAAAAATAGTAGTACCAAAGAAGAAGATATGAAAAAGAACCAAATGAAAATTTTAGAACTGAAAAGTACAATAACTGACACAAAAAATTCACAGGAGGTTCTCACTGGCAAATTTGAGATGACAAAAGAAAACAAATTGGGGAATGCGGAGATCCTTCGATATCGATGCATCGTAAACAAGCAAGAAACAAAACTCAAAAATAATTGAACTCAGCGTCCAGGATCTGTGGGGCAATAATGGAAGATCTGATATACATACAATAAAATGAAGAATGGGCTGAAAACTCAAAGAAATAATGGTATAAAATCTTCAGCATTTAATTGAACAATATGAATCAATAGATTTAAGAAGCAAAGTGAATGCAAGCAATATGAAATCTCTTAAAATTAATTCCCAGATATATAGAAATTAAACTTATAAAAACTAAAGAGAAATTTTAAAAAATCTTGAAAGCTGAAGAGAAATGCCACAGTAGCTGTGGGGGGCAACAATTTGAAGATGGTGTATGGCTGCATTTATAAATCTTACGCGCTTTTAGAAATGATTTGGATGCAGTTTTCATTTAGAAGCTTTAAATGGCTTGTGTTAAATTTATTTTTAGGTCCTTATATTTGATGCTATGGAAAGTAAAATAGATTTTAAGTTCTATTTTTTGAGACTTTTCATGTTCTGTACTTTTCTTTGGACCCTGGACTTCCATACGTTACCTGCCCTGCCTCAACCTCCTGAGTAGCTGGGATTAGTCTCATGTGCTGCCTCACCCAGCTTACAGTTGATCTTTGTGTTTTAACCTTTTGTCTTTTAACCCCCTGAACACCTATTAGTTATAATAATAGGTGATATGATTGTAGATTCTTTGTGACCTTACGCAGGAGTGGTTGTGGTATCTACAAACAGACTGATTTACTTCTTCCTTTCCAGTCTCTCTGCCAGTTATTTCTTTTTCTTGCCTTATTGCAGTGTATAGGACAGTGTTGGCAAGTCTTTTAGAGCTTTCTTTCAGTAACAGAGCTGTGGCACACATGCCATAGGCTTACCATCACTAGTCTAGGGCCTTTGACGCAATGCCTGACATGAATGGTAAAAGTAGGCCACCGGGCTTGGTCCTATCACAGAGGAAAGGCATTTGTGTAGTAAATATGATGGGTATTATAGATGTTCTTTTTTAAATTGAGGATAATCACCTCTGATTGTAATGTTGTGAAGATTTTTATACTGATATATTGAATTTTATCAGATATTCCTTCTACACCTATTGTTAAGGGTTTTTTTTCCATTGCTTGATTGTAATTATTAATTATATTAGTTAACTTTATTATATTAATTCAGTGTTGCATTCTTGAGATAAACTATGGGCTCACCTTTGGTAGTATTTTATTAAAGATTTTTAAAATTTTTATTTTATTTATTTATTTTTGGTATAAGGAATTGAACTCAGGACCTTGCACTTTCCAGGCAGATGTTGCCCTCCTGAGCTATCCAGCTCTATTAAAGATTTTTATGTCTGTCTTCATAATATATATTAGTCTATAATAATATATTTTTGGAGTGTCATTGCCAAGTTTTTGTATTATGCTTACATTTTCCTCATGTGACTTTCTCATTCTTTTTTGTCAAATTTATTTACATCATTTTCTAAAACATATTATCAAAGTCAATTTTTTTTATCAAAGTCAAATATTAAAAAATGTTTTTCAAGCTTTATTCATTACTAAAAAATTGTATTTTTATGTGTCCCAGGCATTTCCATATTTTGTCTAGTTTTTGAAAGAAATTCTGATTGCAGTAGTATTAGAAAAAAGTTATTTTAGATGAGGAAATCACTAAAAATTATGTGCATAGCTTATGCATTTGTTTTAAACATAAAATACATATCTCCTCACTTTTGATCCTGAGTCAAGGCATATTTTTTGAAAATGTGACTTGCTTGGAGTTGTACGACCTGCATGTGGTATAAAGGTCCAGCACATCCATGCTGAACTGTTTGAAATGTCCAGTTTGACTCTCTTTATAGTGATGGGGATACCACTGAAAACAAGTTGAATGCTTGTTTCTGGTATTTACATGTTTCATCTACAGTCAAAATTATCACCAGTTTAAGTGACTCATTTTACTGAATCATGTGGAAGCGTTCTAATTCTCATAAAGCAACAATTGTCTTTTGCACTTTTTGTTATTTAATTAAATGTCATTATAATTTCAAATATAAATATTTGAAAT